TTCAACGATGGTAATAATTGTTTAGAGCATAAAATTTCCAAAATATTGCATACCTAAAATTACTGTTTCGAATTTTTTAAAGAGAGTTAGATAAGGCGTTAAAGTTGTCTATTGGAAAACCCGGCTGCTCTGTTTAGAACCTTTTTACTTGACAAATATCCAAAATTTTCAAATTTAGTCATTTTTGTTTGAAGTAAATTTTATAGTACCAATGTTTTAGCACGTAAAAGTTAAAAAAAATGTTAATGAATAAATTTTTGAAGGTATTTAAGTGTACTTAGAAGCCAATTTTTGAGACGTTAAAAATGTACAAATTGTTCAATAACAAGGCTTTGTCTCATGTTTTTGTGATTTTTCATGGCTGCAAACAATTTTTTCAATCAAACCATGGTAATCATCGAAAAGCTAGTAAAATTTTGTGTAAGAAATATACCTTTATTTGTATTTTTGGCGTCTCTTGTGAAAATGCGGAGGCAATGTTGAAAAAAATTGCAATTTGTCCGAAAAAAATTTTCCCGCGGTTTTTCTTATTTTTTACGTGTTAAAAGGCGTTTAAGAAAAAAAACAAGGTGCGAAATGAAAAGTTCATAAAATTTCCCATAATCTAGGGCTATTAAAACTTGCCGTAAAACCTTTTTGAGAGGTCTTAGCACTGAATTTTGGTTTAAAAAAAGTTAAGAAAAAAATGATGAAATTTAACTTTTTTGTTATTTTTGCGATTTTATTGCTTTGAAATGAGCTTTAAAGTTAAAGTGAATGATGTAACTGAAAAGTACGTTAAATTTTGGTCTAGAAAAGTATGTTCAACATTCTTTTAAGTAATTATATTTGCCGGTAGGACAATTTCTTCTGGGATCAAAAATGAAACTTTTCTGAAAAAAGTCCGTTTCTAGCTCCATTTTCCTAATTTTTAAGCATTTTAAAAGTGTTTGATCAAAAAACCACTATAACCACGTGAAAGTACATAAAATTTACAATAAGATAGGGTACCTTGTTTCAAAAATTTCCATAATTTCTGGGTTTGACACGGCTTCATTTAAAATTGTAAAAAACGGCAATATTTACAGAAAGTTGAGTTTCTATGCAAAACACCATCCCTCAAAAGGTCATATCAATACAGCAAATATTCCATCAATCGTGAGAAGTTATTTAAATAATTTCTGGAGAGCAAAAATTAATTAACGTAATATAAAAAAAAACAATAGGAGGGGAAACTGACCCACCTCCTCCTCCCTGCTTTCTACAAAGAGCGCAAATGGATATATTATGACCGCCAGTACGGAAGTAACAGATTCACGCATACAAAGTGAAGACAAACTTCGTATTTATGCATACAATCACGTAAAAATAAACGAATAGGACAGAGCTTGGCGAAATCTGTACATTTAAGGAGTTTTAAAAATATTGCGGAATGGGACATCTCACATATGAGGGAAGTTACAATGCGAGCACAGCCGCCGCCGCGAAGCGCTTTATGTGAGGGATTGGGCTGTGTAATGGCGGCAGCTCGGGGAGCGGGTCTTTTCGCGTCGGAGGAATCAATAGTAAAACTAATAATTATTATGATAAATTCAACACACCGTTGAAGGTTTGGAACTTTTGGGCGGCCAACTCTAGCGTAAGCGCGAACAAGGATTATAACGAAAGTACAGATGTCAGCGGGGGGCGGGGTTGTCAACAGG